TCCATCAAATTTCAGTTTGAAATTGAATTGAGAAGTCAGTTAAATAAATTATTGAAAAACATTGTGTTCTTCATGTACATTTTGGCACAGTAGTATTCAATAATTTTTTAATTGCCTTCCTGATTGAATTATAAACTGAAATTTGGTAGGCATAAATAAGACTTAATAAAGAACATGCTCAAAAAATATCATCAAAAAATTCATACGAGAAGTCCATTGGACATGGAAGTTCAAACCGGGCTTCTCGTCAGAACTAGCTGAGGTGATCATTAACTCTTCCTTAATACTTCAGTAAATGATTTAAATTGGAACAATACTTTTAGAATTCATAATGATTTATCATATAAAGCGTTTGAAATGGAAGACTATATAGCATAATCATTTCCAATTTCAAATCACCCTTTATAAATGTACGTCAACCTTTTTTTATTAACATCGGGTAACTACAAATTTGACGGATCAATTTTGTGCTTCTAAAAACTTAATTCAAACCCTTGAGAGAAGTAAATTCGGCTCCCCTACAAAAATATGCTAGATTTCCGGCGTCAGCTTTACATTTCAATAACTCATTTTTAACTAATTGATTGTGTTTGTAGATTTAATTTTTGCAAAATTTTGGAAGGGCGTGTTGATTCGATTAGATTAATTTAACCTTGAGAAAACTTGAGAAGAGTTTTCTTAAATTCATTGTTGTTAACTAATTTAGGTTAATAATCACATCGAAAAGTATAAATATGAAACAAGTGCAAGAAATGATTCATTCTTAAAGTGATGCCATGTTTTTTATATGAATGTTGATAATGAGTCAGTGAACTTTGAAGAATAAATAGAACATGATGGAGAATATGACGAATATAGTGAGGACGATGAGACACTAATTCAGAAAAGTGGAGAGGAAAAGGGGAGATGGGAGAGGGGGAAAGTGGAGATGCAATTCCCTTTTTCAAAAATATTGATGATATTAATGATGATGTGACTAGCAACTGTTCAGTATTACGGTCAACGAGCGGGTGGACTCCAGGTGCTGAGTTACAAAAAGGGTTAATTTTAAGGATATGGTTGATTTGAAAAGGTTTGTGCAGCTTTACACTCTTAAGAGGCACCGCATGTATGAAGTTGATGAATCGGGAAAAAAAATACGTGGTCACTAAAGTGTAAGAAACACGGGGAAGGTGGCTGTAGTTGGAGGGTTTGAGCATGTAAGCGCAAATCACATCAACTTTTTGAAATCACTGAATATGTTGGTCCACACCAATGTGTGTGCAAAAGTGTGAGTCGTGATCACCCATTGTTAGAATCGAATTTATTAGCACGTGAAATAGGAAATCATGTCAAAGTGGAGCCTTCTATTACAGTTGCAGCCCAGTAGAGATTTCCAAAGATAAGTTCCCTTATGATGTCTCATATAAGAAGATGTGGCATGCAAAACAAAAGGCGATACAAGCTGTGTTTGGTGATTGGATAAATCGTATAAAATTTTGCCTAAATTTAATTTTGCGCTTGAAAAAAGTAATCAAATGAATGTCGTGTGGCAGCTTGAAAAGCTGCAAGATCAAAATTTGGGAATTTTCAACGTATGTTTTGGCCTTTTCTATAATTTGTTGAGGAGTTCAAATATTGTAGACTAGTAATTAGTATTGGCTATTGATAGAACTCATTTGTATGGAAGGTACATAGGAAAAATGTTGATACTTGATAGCCATAGGTTTTGACGGAAATAATCAATTATTTCCTCTGTCATTTGCTATTGTCGAGGAAGAATCTTTTGATAGTTGGAGATGGTTTCTTAATTGACTTAGAGAGAAAGTTATTCAACATCAAGGAATTTGTTTGATTTCTAATCATCATAAGGGGTTATCATCGATATTGCTTGCGCCATATATGTAGTATTTTGAATGACAAGTTCTACAATAAACAATTAAAAGTGCTTGTTTATAGAGTAGGAAGTGCACACCAAGTGCGGAAATGTGATGACATAGTGAAAGAAATTGACAAAATCAATCCAGATGCTTGTAAATGGTTGGACACGATTCATCTACCGCTATGGTCATTGGCTCGTGATGGGGGTCGGCATTATGGAATAATGACTACCAACTTCTCTGAGGTGTTTAATAGTGTGCTTAAAGGTGCTCGCAATTTGCCTATCACAACACGTATGCAACTAACTTTTTATCTGTTATTTAACACTTTTTTTGTGTGTGAAACGAGATTTTGTGGGAGATGCATTGGCTAAACAATACTTGTATACACCACATGTTCTTGCAAATATTGAAGGATATCGACTAAACGCAAACACACACGATATTTTTCTATTTGATAAAGCGCAAGGAGTTTGTGAACTAGTAATTGTCCCATACAGGGAGGGGATGCAAACAGGACACAATAAACAAGTAGACCACCTTTATGAAAAAACTAGTTTTATGACGCGCGTTGCACATGGGGTTGATGCCAAATATGTTTTTGTTAGGATTAATAGTATGCAATGTTCATGGTTTGTACAATCGAGTTTTGTAAAACTAATCGGTTGACTAAATAAAAATTATGCCCAACTAAACACGTGATTGATATGCTTGCATTTTATGTGGCAATATAGAGGTTACATAAACTGAGGTGATATAATCCGTTCACAAGGAATTAGCTGAGCTACAATTGGACTCCTCTTCATCAAACAATCTTTGCGGTTCATTCCTGAAAAACAAACTTTGATTCATAGCATCCAAATCCGTAGAATGAACACAAGAAAGTAGTGGTAGATCGAATTTGACACGAATATAAGTAAGAGTATATTGAACGAATATGAAATTCGACGCATTTAATACATTGAAGATCCCTTAATGTATTCTTTTTTATGTTGGGGATACTTTGTGATGATTTTGGTTCTAAAAACACTTTGTGATGGTTGTGTTGATGATCTTATCATTTGAGGATTTCTTGGATTGCTTTTACTCGAGACGAGTAAAGATTCAAGTGTGGGGGTGTTTAATATGCACTAATTAGTAGTGCATAAGTGTATGTTTTTATGTTTGATTTATGTGCATTGTTTACCGTTTTAGTTATTTTGTAAACATTTGTGTGATTTTAGTTGTAATTGTATTATAATCTTCATTTATAAGTTGTAAAGTAGAATTAGGAATTATGGTGTTCAAAAGGAGGACTTTGAAGTGAAGAAAAAGGAGATTGGACTGTCCAGGAGCTGAAACCCGACCGGGCATAACACTTGACCCAGTCGGGTAAGATTTGACAGACGAAGGTGGCTGGAAATTACACAGACCCGGTCGGGTCCCCTATACCACCCGGTCGGGTCGGATTTGACCCGGGACAGTTTAACGTGCTGAAACACAAGAACATGGAAGATTATCTGATCTTGACATGCACCCGGTCGGGTAGGCACTTGACCCGGTCGGGTACCCGGCCCAAGGTGTTGAAAAACACCTATAAATAGCACACTTTTCATTCACTTTTAATCATCCCTTCTTCCATATACTTAAGCTCAGTTTAGAATAGTTATTCCATATGTGTTCTCATCCTTCTCAAGATGAGAACACATAGAAGAACAATAATTTTGTTACTGAAAATGAAAAAATTCAGAATGATTGCATCATTAGAGGGGGTTTAGGAATTAGGAGGTGATAATAATAGAGTTAATTCCTTAAATAAATGACTTAAACATTAGTAAAGTGTACAAATAGGATTATCATTGTTTCCTTCCAAAATAAGGATCACCAATACTATTATATGATTGGTTTAGACAGAATATGGCTTTATAATTTTTTATAAATATCTTGAAATATTATTATAATTATAATTATTATGCATGTCATTTAACTCATTTTAGATAAAAAAGAGTTCTACAAATTTTTTGTAACTTTAGACCCGTTTTAATTTTCCACCCCTAGACCTTCGAATCTTGGGTGTTGTGTTAGTGTTGTGTTAGTGTTGTTAATTAGTTGCTCAGAATTGGCTAATTAACAATCCACGTGAATTCATTTTTACATGAGTCGAACTCATGTTGTTACACGTTTGAAATCATGAATTGTGCATATTCATAAATTTTATTCGTTAATCTTTTGATTGAAGCCTAATTTCTAAGTTTTCTTTAATTGTGAATTTGTTTATATTCTAATGAAAAAGCTCTATTGTGGAGGCTTTGGGTGACGAATTTATGGGAATACTAACAATTAGCCAATATAACAACTGTTGTGCAAATGATTTGTGGTGTAAATTTGTGGTGTCATTTTATTTTTATAATATAACTTTCAAAGTATGAGTAATTTGAACCTGTAAGTAATGTCTTTACACGTTTTTTTCAACGCTCTAGGGGTTATGTTCAAACGACTAATTTTATCTAACAATTCTTTACAAAACGCTAACATTACTAGTCAACTAAAACAACAAACCTAACTAGCTATTGTTAACTACATCACAACCAGCTAATCGGAAACAGTTAACAGCCAATTACCAACACAAGACCTTTATATATCTTTCCAAACTTATCGTAGCATGTGCTCAAAATAATACCAAAATTTTTTACTTAGATGACAATCAATCATATAACTTCCATAATGTCGTGAAACTTCAAGTGATTTGTCACCTTGTATACCAAGTATCGGTGTACTACCTTGTCAAAGAAATTTGTCATTCCATAACATTTGCATCATGAATTCAATTAGTATAATATTATGGAAGTTATAAATTTATATTTTTATAAAAGTATTTTAATAAAAAATATTTTCATACTCCCTCCGTTCTTTAATATGAGTCTCCTTAGGCTTTGGCACGGGTTTTAATAAAAAAAATAGTAGGGGTAAAGTAAAAAGTGTAGTAGAAGTAATTAAATGGAAAAGTAGGAAAGAGAATGAATTAATAGATGAAATTAAGTATGTGGGGGAGGAAAGGAAAGAGAAAAACAATGATAATCCAAGGAAAGAGAGGATGACTTTTCCCTCTTTCCATGCGTACACCTTTTTCCAGGGCCCTACTGCCCTTTCCAGTTGCCGCCAAAACAAAGGAGGAGATGACATTTCCCTCCAAATCAAACCCTACAAGACCCACTATAAATAGAAGTGTCTATCTATTTTTACACTTGTATCCTAAAAATAGCAAAACAACAAATGCAATCAGCTTTTCTGCACATCTGAGCTAGCAAATGAACGAAGAAACAGCACCCAGTCCACACACTTTTTCCAGCAGATCTACTCTTCACATGAGTGCAGCAGCTTCAGATTGTATTCCTCCAGAAGAGATGCTACTGATTGAGCTGGGGCTTGCAGCTGAAGAATATGAAGCTGATGCTGATTTTGAAGATGAGCCCCCATATGTTGAGAACACACAACCAAACACACAACATTCTGAAGGTAATGTACCTGAAATAAAAACCACATCAAAGCCCATGACAAAAAGAAGGCTAATACCAGAAGAATTGTTATCAAAGGCAAGTCAAAATTCAGAGACTAAACTGTTGAGTTGTAAGAGAGGAGTAATGAAAGAAGTTGCGAGTACTCACAATGTTTGCACTAAAACAGTCTGTAGAATCTGGGCATCAACAAAAAAACAAGTTGAGCAAGGTTTGGAAATTAACACAGAAGGAAGAAAAAAAGGCAACTGTGGTAGGAAAAGTATACCAATTGACATTGAACACATACGTGCCATTCCTAAGAGCAAGAGGACCACCATGAGAAGCTTGGCAGCTTGTCTTGGGGTTAGTGTTTCCAAAATCCACAAGTTACTAAGTATAGGTATTATAAGATCACATTCAAATGCAATTAAACCTGCTTTGAATGACAAGAACAAACTGGACAGAATGAAGTGGGCAATGTGTCACATAATTCCAAGAAGCATCACTCAACCACCACAGTTCACAAGTATGTTCAATGTCATACATGTGGATGAGAAGTGGTTCTTTATGAGCCAAGTAACTCAAAGATACTACCTTTTACCCTCAGAGGAGGACCCTCATAGAAGCTGCCAAAGTAAAAGATTTATCGACAAGGTCATGTTTTTGGCAGCCATTGCTAGACCATGGATCCATGATGATGGATCAATTATATGGGATGGGAAAATTGGAATTTCCCCTTTCACAAAATTAGTGCCAGCAAAGAGAAAGAGCAAAAACAGAAGTGCAGGGACACTTGAAATTAAGGCAACCACATCTGTCACGAAGGAAGTCATCAGAAATGCATTTCTTACACTATTGGTTCCAGCAATAAAAGAAAAATGGCCCCCCAATGCATGTAAAACTATATGGATACAACAAGACAATGCAAGGCCTCACATAGGTTTGGATGATGAAGCATTTAAGGTTGCAGGTACAATGGATGGGTGGGATATGAAATTGGTCTGTCAGCCTACAAATTCCCCTGATCTAAATATTTTAGATCTAGGGTTTTTTTAGAGCTATTCAATCAATTCAGTACCAGAAAAGTCCAAAGACACTCCAACAATTGTTAACAGCAGTACAAGAAGCATATGCAGAATATGAAGCACATAAGGTAAATCACAATTGGCTTCAATTACAAGGTGTCATGGTTGAGATTTTGAAATGCAAAGGAGGCAACAACTACAAAAGCCCTCACATGGGAAAACAGAGATTGGAAAAACAGGGGCTTCTACCAAGTAATTTGGAAGTAAATGATGACTTGCTTTCAGAAACAGTTGCTCATTTGAATGGTGCATTGGAGGACAATGAGACAATGACCAGTTAATGCTCAGTTCATGTTTGAAGTCATAAACTCCCCACCCTAGGTATGTAAATTAATGTAGTCCCTATAATGCATTGCAAGGTCAGTTAACTGATGTAGTGAATGAACTACAAAGTTTTGAGTTTTGCCCATTTCAGTTAATGTACACTGCAGTGTAAACTTCATGCTTTTGCCCATTCTAAGGTAATGAAATGCATTTGGCTTTTCATCATTTGACTTCCTTGTTTAGTTTCTCAGATATACTTGACATACCGTGTATCATCATTGAAAAACTCACTTCTTCTCATAGAAATGAGAGAGCATATTTACAAATCAGAGAGCATACACTGATACCAGAGACACCACAATGATTTCTCAACAATGTGTAGTATCATACAAATCACAGAGTATCATTTGAAATCAGACAGACATCTATGATTTCTCAAAAACATAAGTTATCATAAAATGAGAGAGCATACACTTGATTCAGATACACAACTATGATTTCTCAATAATTAATTGTTATCATAGAAATCATAGAGCATACACAACAATCAGAGACACAACAATCATTTATCAAAAATCTTTGTGTTATCATAGAAATCATAGAGGATAATCTGACATCATAGACACACCAATGAATTTTCTAAAAGCTTTGTTATCATAGAAATCAGAGAGCATCCAGTGACATCAGGCACACAACAATGATTTCTCACATTAAAAGGCAACAAAGGGAGGGTACGAATAACCCAGTCCTGAACAACATTAAAAGGCAGCAATGGGAGGGTCCAAAGTAGGCATGAAAACATGGGAGTACAACATTCCGAACAACAGAAATGAAATTAGATTACTTATCGGCAAGTGCATGTGCAGTATCAGCACTCAAACACCCTCAACGCTTCCACAATTCATCCCACCCTTTTAGATAATCAGATCCAACCTTCCTTTGAGGGAGTATTAGTTTCAGCATGGCCTCGCTGCCTTTCTGTGCGGCCTCAAGTTCAGACGCGGTTTGGTATGGAAGAACTGCCAGAGCCAACCTCGCGTTTCTCTCAATCCATTGCAGATCCGCCTTCTCCGCAGCTTCATTCTTCGCCAGATCTGACAAACGTTTGGTATCATCGAAACGTTGGACTGCCGTTTCAGGCACAAATGCGTCCGCATCGGATTGTTGGACCGGCGATTGAACCACACACACCCCGGAATTGGAACCTTGGTCCGGCGTATCAGCCACATATGGTGCGGGAATTATCGTGTCACAGGGGAGATCCATCTGAGGTACTATGGTAGTGCAAGAAGACAGCGAAGGAAGGAGGGTGGAAGGTGAAGAGGGTGGGATGTTTGTGGGAATATATGGTACGCGGTGGATGGGGAGTAATTAAGGTAGTGGGTGGAGAGTAATTAAGGTAGTGGGTGGAGAGTAATTAAGGTAGTGGGTGGGGGGATTAATTAGTTTAGGTGTAGGGGTAATAAGTGGGGGTAATAAGTGAGGGTAGAAGATGGGAGGGTATATTGGTATATTTAGAGTAAAAAGTTTCCTTAAATCGAAAGGACAGATAAAAAAAAACGTCCCAAAAAGGAAAGAAGAACTTATATTAAAGAACGGATGGAATATTATTTTAAAGTTTTTTGGAGTAAGTTTGCAAGGTGATTTATCTTAACCAAAAACAGGTCAATATTTGTCTCATTCTTCTACGAAACAATCCCGTCACCTCTCCCACCCCATAACACTGCTGAAGGGGTTTGTTGAAGGACTAATTTTTGTGTCAAACTCAGGAATTCGATTTAGATCTATTTTTATTATAACCAGTCTCGATCGCCGGCGACAAAAATGTACGGATTTGAAGCGCTCTCCTTCAACATCCATAGTGGTTACCTGGAGGCGATCGTTCGGGGCCACAGAGCTGGCCTGCTCACCGCCGCCGATTACAACAACCTCTGCCAGTGCGAAACCCTCGATGACATTAAGATGCACCTCTCAGCCACCGAATATGGCCCTTACCTCCAAAACGGTTAGCACCGGCATCTATTTTGATCTTATCAAAATCTATTCTCGTGGTGGAATGTTGTTTCCAAATTCAAATCTAAATTTCAATGGGATTGTTCAGTAACATTCAGTTATATTAGCGGTATTGGGGTTGATCTGACATTTATAACTCACATGCCTTATGAGTAATCTAATCAATAATGATATCAATGGAGATTTTACTTAAATGGATGGTATTCACTTGCAGATGCATTGAGTGCACATTTTGTCATTTTGCTATGGTTTACTGTATAATTTTATATCTTATATGGCAACTGATTATGAAGTAATGATTTTTACCTTCTTGTGTATCCCAGAACCCTCTCCTCTGTACACAACTACGATTGTGGAGAAATGCACTCTTAAACTTGTAGACGAGTATAACCACATGTTATGCCAAGCTACGGAGCCTCTGGCAACTTTCTTGGAGTACATAAGGTTTATGAATTGTAACTTCGCCTTATCTTATATTCAACATTTTTGGCATTTGCAATTTTGCATTGCATTGAAGTAATTGATACATTGCTAGTGTTAATTTGTTTAGTTATTGGACCTGTTTCATTGATGACTTACTCTTTAAATGCAATCTCTGTTCTTAAAAGCTGAGTATTAATTGACAATAGTGTATGTATGCACCTTATTATGCTTTAACGAAATTGGTTGCATCATGATTGTTATATAAGATCTAAATGTCCATACATGTTCATGCTCATTCTGCTTGCCATGTATTCTCCAGAAGTTCACGTGTAAACATTTGATCACAATCATACTCCTTTACCTTGCTCAGATATGGTCACATGATTGACAATGTTGTCCTAATTGTCACTGGAACATTGCACGAAAGAGATGTCCAGGAATTGCTGGAGAAGTGTCACCCTTTGGGCATGTTTGACAGGTACCGCTCAGAGTACACCTTTGATATCATGAGAAGTATTTTGGGACCCTTTTCATCTGGGAAGTGGCAACTCTTGTTTGTGTTATTTATACAGCATTGCCTCCTTAGCAGTGGCACAAAATATGAGGGAGCTTTACAGGCTAGTGCTTGTTGACACCCCATTGGCCCCGTATTTCTCACAGTGCATTACTTCAGAGGTAGTGCAAAATTTACCACCTTTTCAAATCAATGTCACTTCATGATCATTTTTTAATTAATCTCTGTATTTTTTCAATGTGGTTTTTGGCAATTTAAGTCTCACTTTATTCATATTGTGTATCTTCTATTTTTAGAAGGGGGATCTTATCCACAATCTACTGATATTCAATTTCTGTAGTTGTAGTAGTCCAGTTAAGTATGTGATTTAGCATCCTGCAGGACTTGGATGACATGAATATTGAGATTATGAGGAATACCCTTTACAAGGCGTACCTTGAAGATTTTTACAAGTTCTGCCAGGTCTGCGGTGCATCTCAGCTTCTAATATATCCATGTTGATAATACTTTTGAAAAGTCATAATCTTATTACTTCATCTGATAAGAAAATTTTCAAATAGAAACTGGGTGGTGCCACTGCAGAGATCATGTCCGATTTGCTTTCTTTTGAGGCTGACAGAAGAGCAGTTAATATAACTATAAACAGGTGTGTCATTTACTTGCCTTTGATCTTTTGTTCTTAATTGCATATCACAGAGTACGGGTGTTTATTGCTAGACTGCTGCATATTGCATAAGACTCATTGTGCAATGATGTTTTTTATAGTTCTATTATATACTATGCATTAAGTAATTGCAAGTTTGCAACTATTTAAAAAATGACTTGAAATAATGAAACAAAATATTAATGATTAACCATGGAACTTCATAGTAAATAGAACTACAATGAAGTCACAACACCATCAAAATAGGAAGTTTATGCATCACATAATAATTTTATATATTTCTAATACAAAACGAACAAAAAACGGAGTGCATAACAGAAAAAGTAATCGTTTTGAAGAAGGAAAAAACATAATCAATGAAAAACGGAGAAGGGGAGAAGAGAGAAGTTGAAGAGGAGAACTATATGTGTCAACTAGGAAATGTCAAGTAGGAGAACTGAAGAAGTTGCAGTGTTGCATCACAGAAGAGGAGAGAGACAGGGAGGGGGGGGAGAAGTTTACTCTATCCGGTAAAGTGACTCAAGAGAAAAATGAAATTTTTCTTTAAAGTTTAAACTGTAAACCAAATACGTAGTATTACTTTTTATCATTGCATAAGCCTCAACAACGCCTCAAGGATATTATCCGCTTAATCTATCTTTTGCTTATAGCTTATTCTAATTTTAACTAGACTAGATTGAAGACCTTATCATATGTCCGGGGCTGTGATAGAATTATGATTAAAAGAAAATTTCAAGACAAAAGTGTAAATACTTTTTAAATATTTGAAACAAGTTTTAACATATGTCATTTTTAATTTCATTGCCAGTGATACCTTGCCTCATCACTTCTCGAACCCTAGTGACTCCACTACGACTTCTCACCTCCAATGACTCCGCACCACATGTCATTGTCACTGTCAATGGCAGTTTCTGGCGGTTTTTAAAAAAAGTTCCCATTGGTGGCGTCTAGGCGACGGCTGCTGACAGCAATGGAAAATGGGAAGTTGATGGGGGGGAGAAGAGATGGAGATAGATTTGGTCTATATATTATCTCAGCCATTTTTGTATCCGGAATGATTATTAGTCATATTTTTCCCATTCAAACTCTTATGTACGAAGTAATATATTTTGGTCATTGTTTCCAAATAATATACGAAGTATTTAAGACTAGAAGAGCGATGTGATCAGAAAACTCTTAATTCAAAGTAGACTAGACACAAAATATTAAGCGAAAAAAATTATATACCAGATCAGATCTTATATTTAAGACAAGAAAGTCGGACAAGATCAGAAAACTTTTTGCCTTGCTGGCCAAACCTGACTACAAACATTCATATTCAGATCTGAAATGAAAGGTTGACCAGACTAGATCTTAAAAAAATTCAGATCAGAATCAGATCACATTTTACTTGAAGAGTACAAGTCCTAATACTACTTGCCGCTTAAGTTTACTGGAATTGTGTTTAAACTTTAAATCCATACTCTTTTTTTGGGGGGAAACTATCTTGTAACAGTGATTCATCTGATGTTTGTTAGGCGTTGAGCCTAATTTAATTACTACATATGGTTATCCATATTTTTGAGCGTTTTGTTTATGCTCCCATATGTGGTTTTGTACAGCATTGGCACTGAGCTTACTAGGGAAGACCGCAAGAAGTTATATTCTAATTTTGGTCTACTGTAAGTTAATTGGTTTTGCTCCTCTCTCTCTCTCTCTGTCTGTGTATCTGTCCCTATTCTTCTGATTTTTTTTTTATATATTTTTACACCAAACAGTTATCCCTATGGTCATGAGGAACTTGCCATCTGTGAAGATATTGACCAGGTATGTGCTCTCTATATTACATTCTTACTAAACCATTTGATGATATCTGTATTTTAAGAACTATATTGTTATTCCTGGGCATGGGAGGGTATGGTCTATTCTCTATAGGAGTAACTTGCCTTTCAACTTCACAAGCAATCTTGTGGTCAATTTCTCTTAAAAGAACTCCTGATTTTCTTATTTACCAAAATGGTTGCATTCAGTCTTGCCTGGTAACCTCTATTCTTCAATTTGCTCAAAAAGAATCTTGAGCACTTGCTCCTTTTGATTGATGCGGCTGTAGGTTCGTGGTGTCATGGAAAAATACCCTCCATACCAATCAATATTCACTAAATTATCTTATGGAGAGAGCCAGATTCTTGACAAGGCTTTTTATGAGGAAGAAGTCAAACGCTTGTGCTTGGCATTTGAGCAGCAGGTGCGTTAATTTCAGATTTGTCAAATGTCGTGGTAAAACCTTAAGATTGAATTTGGGGCTGAAAGGAATACAATTTATTCCACACCAATACGCTATCCCACATTGACCAAAAAGAAAAAGAAAACACCCACATATATGGTAGAGTTATTCTTAGTTTTACCTTCAAGGATGAAACCTTAGTTTTGCTGTGATATTTGGGTGTATTAAACTTGAACAATTGATTCGATCTTAAGCCTACAAAACAAGCACATTGTTTAAAGATTGGTTTTATGCCAATATCAATGTATACCATAGTGGGGCATGTTAAAATCCTTTCTATATCAACCCATTAAAGGGCAACCCGGTGCATATTGGGGCCCCGTAAGGCGAGGGTCCGTCCGGCGATGGGTCCCGCCACAAGGGTATATAAGGGGCAATCATTCTCTTGTCATTTTGACAAGAGCAGAACCCTGGTC